GCCTCTTAGCATCAAGTCTGCTCCTGCAGTGCTTGTTATCATACTTAAACTCTTACATCTTCTGAAGTGGGAACAATCAACTCTTGGCTTCATCTCCGGAAACATTTCTAGAGGTGGCTCCAAACAGCAATCCTAGCTGATGGGAACTGGAAGACCATTCACTCTTGGCTTCTCTGACATACTGAGAACTAGGAGGCGGCTGAAAGGCTCACCTGCCAAGCACTGACCTGGTCAGTGTCTGGGTTGTCCATCAGGGACTTCCCTAGTGACTCCGTTTCCTGCGTTACTCTTCTAGGCATGAATACCTCTGAGAGAACTACTGTATGAAGTTAATCTAAGGTATAGCATTAATAGTTTGTAGATTTCCTTCAACAAGGGTGGCTGTGTTGTATGATGACCTTTATTGACAAATTGTATTCATTAAAAAAACTAACATAGGTAATGAAGGTAACATCCTTTAAAAAACTTTTTTCTCTTTCTACTTAAGAAGTACTTTTTGGCCATTTGTTTTTTCTTCCCTACAGTGGATTACTGAAGATTCCTGGTATAGGCCAATGGCAAAAGAACCCCTCCTTCCTCCCTACAGTGGATTACTGAAGATTCCTGGTATAGGCCAATGGCAAAAGAACCCCTCCTGCCCATTAGTAAAGAGGGCTGATGGAGAGATCACTATCGAAAAGGACTGTGAAGGCTGATAGAGGGCTGATGGAGAGATCACTATTGAAAAAGAAAGACACACTTAGAGGAATTTCCTGGGAGGAAAATTGCCATGGTTCCTTTGAATTTTTTAGGAAGTATTAGGGGTAGGGAGTAGGGAGAGAAGTGCAAAATATTTTCTGAAATGGCATACTTGTTTTGTTGAATTATGCCCTCCACCAAAATTTGAATATTGTAGTCCCAATACCTAGTACCTTGGAAAATGACTGTATTCAGAGATACGGCCTTTAAAGAGGTGACTGAGTTAAAATCAAGCCCTTACGGTGGGCACTTATTCAATCTGATGGGTATCCTTAAACAAAGAAGAACTTAGGACACACAGTAAGACCCCCAGGATGCACTTCTGTAGAGAAAAATCCAGGTGAGGGAAGACACAGTGAGGAGGTGGCCACCTGCAAGTCAAGGAGAAAGGTCTAAAAAAGAAACCAAACCTGCCAACACCTTGATCTTGGACATTTAGCCTCCAGAACTATGAAAAAAGAAATGTCTGTTGTTTAAGCGACACAGTCTGTGCTATTTTGTTATGGCAGCCGTAGCAAACTAATACAGCCATACGCTCATTCTTTCCTTCTGTGTTGTTCTGGCTTTTAACTGAGGATATGGTAAGAAAACATAATTTTTTGAACATAATTAAAATATATTTTTAAAATATTGCCATTCTGGGCAAGAACCAGTGTTGCTGCGACTGCCTTAGACAACCCTACAGACCCTTGCAGTCATGGGTTTACAGGATCTGAAGCAACAGGTGGAGGAGACAGCCCAGGAAGCGGTGACAGCAGCCGGAGCAACAGTTCAAGTGGTGGATCAAGCCAGGCTGGACAGAAAGCCACGGACCAGCTGACCAGTCCCACCCAGGAAACCACCGGCAAGACTGCTAAGCAGGCCTCTGACACCTACTCAGGTTTTGCAAAAAACTTAGGCGTTATGAAATGACAGAGGGAGGTAGAGTGACGCCCCTGCAGGCCCTGTGCAGCTCAGCTTGGCCCAAAGCTCTGTTCCGCAGCTGCCTCTTTGGTCTGCCCTCACATTAAAATCCATGTTCCAAATAAATAAATAACAGAAAAATATTTTAAAATACTTTCATTTAAGGCATTTTTCTTTCCCTACCAAACTTCACATTTTCACCTTCTGTGTTTTGCAAATCATGCCTCTTAGCATCAAGTCTGCTCCTGCAGTGCTTGTATGAATGCCGGAGAGAAATGGTCTAGGTGGAACAGATGTAGGGTAGGAGACATAAAGGAGGGGGATGCCACTTTAAGACCCCCATCAATCAGCGAGGCACACTGATTCTACTAACAGCTCCAGTTCTGGTTTAACTAATTGGGAAGGAACAGATGCTTTTAAAGATTAAATATAAAATTGATTCTTGTTAACTATGCCTTAGATTCCTTCAAAATACGGATATGGTCTCTAACAGTTTCTGGGCACCTTGTCAAAGATGATAAAAATACTCATATTAGGCAATATAGCATCATATGCTTATGAAAAAACAGAAGGCATCAAGGTATTTTTATTACTTACAGTACACTATACGGAAGAGAAAGTCTTCCAAGGGATTTATTCTTTCAACTAACAAATACAGGGAAATGGCTTTTGGTGAAGTATGTGAAAGCTTACTGACATCCTAACTAAACATCAACATCTTACACAGGTTGCCTTTAGAAAAAGTGGAACCTGTAAATACTAACAGAAAAAAATCCAATTTATTAAAGATTATAACATCAGTATTATTAGTAGTAGTAGTAGTAAAAATAGCTTTCTCCTAAGAGGAATAAAATACAATTATTTATAGAGCATTAAGTGAATATATTTCCTTATATATTCACTTATATGTATTAGTCAATGTATTTTTTTAATTCAGTAAGGTAATTATTAGTATGAATAAAATTGGGGTAATGGTGCAAAGAGACATGATTAATTGAATTATTAATTTTTTTTTTTTTTGCAGCAGTTTCAGTTAAAAGGTCCTAGTCTTCCATTCCTTAGCATACAGTATTACTTTTAGCAGCTAGAGATACTCTTGGCCGTGGACAAACATCCTTGAGTTTACCAAATATGGTGCAGTTTTCCCAGGGAAGATGTCCACAGAAGGATGAATTACCACGTGTAATCAACCAAAGTATGATTTCTTTTTACCATCCTCCACTAATTATAATTCTTTAGTAACTACCCCCAGTTGAAATGATAATGCCAATGAAATAAACACAGTTACTTCAAAGAGGAGTGTGATGGCTTACTTCATCTAGCGAGTGATACTGTTCGTAGTATGATGAGGAGGCTCGGGGGCTGACCGTGTTGTTGGAGATCTGCTGTTGAATAATAGCTCCCACATCTTCCTGCAAGACTCTAGATGATGAAACAGAGAGTGAGCCAGTGTCAAGGCAGACCACTGACCTCCCTATACAGCCCATAGCAGCCATAACAGGTTATTAAGGGGGAAAATTGCTAAGAAGTCTAATAAGCAGTTCATCAAGGTAAAAAACACCACCGTCTCACAATGTGATAAACTGAATTCACAAACTCTTTCAGTAGAGCTGCGTCACAGCTGCATGGAGAAGTAGCTCCTATGAGGAGCTCTGTAAATATTTGATGAGATAATGAATGAATGAATACTGTATTTATGACTCAACTGTGAAACTGGATGTGTATGTCAGATGTTTAAACGAGAAATAAAATCTTGTCTGCAAAGTAACTTTGGAGAAAAGGTAGCTCCTATGAGGCATATTCTCAGGACTTCCAAAAGCTCACCCTTTTCCACCATTATCAACATTTCTCAGCTGTGATTCTTCAGTGTCTTTTTTTTTCTCTTTTTCTTTTTTTTCCCCGAGATGGAGGCTTACTGTGCTGCCCTTGGTAGAGTGCCATAGCATCACAGCTCGCAGCAACCTCAAACTCTTGGGCTTAAGCCATTCTCTTGCCTCAGCTTTCCAAGTAGCTGGGACTACAGGTGCCCTCCACAACATCCAGCTATTTTTCTGTTGTAGTTGTCATTGTTGTTTAGCAGGCTCAGGCCGGATTCAAACCCACCAGCCCCAGTGTATGTGGCTAGTGCCTTATCCACTTAACCACTTAACCCAGCTACGGGCACCAAGCGTCTTCAGTGTCTTTTATATGAACCTAGAGATTAATGCACCTTTCTTCAATTCAGAGTAACATAGCATTATTCAATTTTCAGTAAAAGGTCGGGGAGAAGCAGAAAGCCTTTGCTTTCTGTATTGTTTTGTTTTCCATTAACCAATACCTGGTGTTCCCCAGAGTCAAAGAAATGGAAATGCAGGGACCAGGAACGGTATGGGAAGGGCACCTCACGCAATTTCTCTCCAGAAGCACCACCTTTATCAATGAGGCAAACATTTTAACTAACTTAAGGTATTTTACCACCTGACATGGACAATTTGAAAATTAGCTATAATATTAATCAAGGTTTCTTTACTTCTATTTAGGCTAACACATAAAGTCTAAATTTGACTCTGCCATGTTTGAGCTGGTTGACTTTGAGAAATTCACTTATAAATAAAATTTCTTCTTCCTGTGCATAATGGGGATAGTATCTACTTCACAGAATTAAATAAAGAATAAATGATATAATGTGTAGAAAAGCTGAATGCCGTTCCTGGAAAACAGTAAAACCTATAGTATGTTACTAATAATTGCTATAGCATATGATCTAAAGGCGACCCATGGATACACTGAAGACAGCATGGTCTCGAGGAAGGTGTGAGGTCAGTCAAAGGACCCTGGCAGCTGAGCAATGGATATGGAGGGGATATGATGAGCAGAAGAATCCAGAAGGAAGAGGGTGTGGGCTCTGAACAGAAATTGCACCTGATACACTGTTTTAATAAGTGAAATGATTTAATCCACATAATAGGTGCTACTTTTAATTCTAATTTACAAAACCGAGGCCCACAGAGTTTAATAATTCTGACAGGGCCACACAGGTGGTAGGTGCAGTGCCAGACCCCAACCCAGGATCTATGAAGAGCCTGAGTACCTGGTAAAACACTTTTTAGTTTGGGGCCACCCATTCAGAAACACTCACAACTTTGCGAAGGGAGAATTAGCAGCAGCTAACTGCCCTTCAGCAGCTGCGTTTTCAAGAGATGCTGCAGAGCCGCCTACCACGAGGAACGGCACGTTTGCTGCCCACATCTGCATGCAGAGGCATAACCAAAGAAGGGACTGTGAGAGGCTCTGCTGACCGCCGAGTCCAACCTTCATTACAGATAAGAGACTGAGGTCACAAGGAGTTAAACCAAGTTCACAGAGCTGGACCTTGGGCTTTGTCACCAGTCTATTTCAGAGACTTCCACCATGCCATGTTTAATGTCTTTTACTCCAGGAGGCAATTATACCAGGCCCTCGTCCAATGCCTCCCAGCCACTCAGCACGCATGGGGTGATGCCTACCTGAATATGATGCTGTTCACATTTAAATGGGCCTTCACGTTGCTTACATCAGATGCGTTCACAAAGAAATGGACTTCTTTTTTCTTCTCAATGATATCAGCTGTCACTGGCTGCCAGAGAACAATCTACAGTTTTAAGGGAAAAAAAACTGATGAAAGAAGAGTTGTTCACATCATTCTCATCTGTGGCTAGACCCATAAAAGTTATGTCAGTAAAGGACTTGAAAGGGACACTTTATGGCCACTGGTTTTCATCCACACACTTAATAACATAAACATTTATTTTGTAGTGAGCTTTTTAAATTCCTCTCTGTAACTTTAGTTGCTGAGGAGAGCCTGGAATGTGTCAGATACCTAGTAAATATTTGATGAGACGAAGAATGAATGAATGAATGAATCTATCTATGATTGAGTTATAAAACTAAATGTATATCTCAGATATTTAAAAGAAAGTGAAATTTTGTCTAGAAAAAGTTGATTAAACATTGATTTTATTTAATAAAAATGTCTTCTTCTTATAATTATTATCATGACATTCTTCCTTTTTGGTAATCTAATTATGGCCTTTGGGCAATGCCTTCCAATAAGAATGACAGTTTTTCTATTTTACTGTACTTTTTCAAAGCACTTTCACACTCGTTTTCTTGAATAATTTTAACACTTTGCTACAGACGATGCAAATGTTATTTTCATTATTCAGATGAAGAAATAAAAGCTCCTAGCTGACTTTGCTAAAATCATATGACAAGCAACAGAACAAGAACTACAATTCTAAATCTCTAATGCTTCCTCTCTCCGTGTTTCCCCCTTACCATGGTCTGGTGGCAATGAAAATGCATTCAGCTCTGCTTTTGGAAGGAGTTCACTTGACTGGCATCCCTAGAGGCTGGCCTTGGTGGTCCACTAGGACCTGAAGCCATGCTGCCCCAGGGCCACAGACCTGCAGTAATTGAGCACTGTGAGTGTGTGAATGCAGGCACGTTCGACAAATATGGGGCTCCCAGAACCCACGACTTTGGCTTAAGGACTCACTGCTGGCCTAGCCCAAACTTTCTCACAAGTACTCTACAGTCAGAGGGTCTCTGTGTGACATGCTTCTTCCTACAAGAGTGTCAGAGCGGCATCAGGGTCTGAACGCACTCCCTGTCGTCTCCAGGCGCCCTTCTTTATCTACCACAAGTATCCTCCTAATTGCTTGCACCTCTATTCTGGCCTTGGCATCTGTTTCTTGGTGAACACTAACCAACAAGGAGCCATTGGTTTTCTGCCATAACATTTTATAACACTTGTTAATTTTCTACACCTTAGACATTCTGGGTCCAAGAGATAAAGGTTTTAGTAAATTTTTCCTTGTGTTTTTGTGCATAGTCCTTGGTTCAAAACCTTTGTTATATAAGCAGAGTTTATTGAACTTTTGTTACCATTTTCATTGTACCCTAAGTACACACTTTTCAATCCCAAGGTATTGTTATGAAATTAACTAAAAAGCCAATAGAACAAATGAAGAAATGATTTGGGGAACCAATAAAATCATGCGATTTGGGGGAAGGGGGAAGGGAACGAGTAGAGGAGTTCATACCAGACACACATAAGTCATGCAACATAAAGGAGGGATGACAGCACTCAATGTTCATATAAAATGAAACCCAAATAAACATAAATGAAGGAGAAATTACCTCATATGTTGTAGTAAGATTCTGCAGAACTTGAACTTGCCTAGAGGTTCTAGGAAGAGCCAATAAAACCTGGCCACTGGGAAAAAACAAAACAGAATTTTGATGTGAAAATAAAAATAAAAATGAAATCCTAGAAAGGGCTTCTAGGTAATTGTAAAAAGGAAAAAAAAATTATTTTATTCTCTTCTTTTAAAACTTCAGGTTATTATGGGGATACATACGTTTTGGTTAAATAGTTTGTTTTTGTATATTTTAAGTCAAAGTTACAGACGTGCTCTTCACCCAGAAATGTGCAATGTACCTGTTAGGTAGGAATTTACCCTTCCCCTTTTCCCCCTCCCACCTACTTCAATTTCATTGACTTTTGCTTCCCTATGAACACACAGGTGTTGATCAACTAGTTCTAGTTCAGTATTGAGTACCTGTGGTGTTTGTTTTTCCATTCATGTGATATTTCACTTAGGAGAATGGTCTCCAGTTCCATCCAGGTTGTTATGAAAAATACTAGTCACTCTCTTTTTTTATGTCTGGGTTGTATTCCATGGTATACATATACACATTTTATCAATCCATTCGGGTATTGATGGGCACTTGGGTAGTTCCCATGTCTTTGCAATTGTGAATTGTGCTGCTATGAACATAGGAGTGCAGGCGTCTTTATTTTAAGATGTCTTTTTGCCTCTTTGGGTAAATACTTAGTAGAGGGATTGCAAGATCAGAAAGTTCTTTAAGGAATTTCCATCCTACTTCTCATAGAGGTTGTGCTAGTTTGCAGTCCCAGCAAGAGTGTATGAGTGCTCCTTTCTCTCTGCCTCTGTGCCAACATCTACTGCTTTAGGACTTTATAAGGTGACCCATTTTCACTGGGGTTAGATGGTATCTCAGTGTGGTTTTGATTCACACAGGAAACAAAGTTTTAAATGGACAGAGGATCTCACTACAGATTAAATGTGAAAAGAGAGTGTACATTCTCAAGTCTTTCTGCTTCTAAGCAATTGCTCTCTTGAGTAGGGATCAGTTTGTAGAGTACTTACTTTTCCTTCTTGTTTGTGTGTTTTAATTTAAAAAACTAAATATGTAATGCATTAAAAAATTTAAGCTAATCCTATCTTTTTGAATAATAAAATGAATGCCTATGAACCCATCACTCCACTTGTAAAAACCCAGTTGCATTGACATCCTGGAGCTCTTTATTTGTTCCACTTCACCTTATTCCCTTTCCACATCCACAAAGGTATCCACTACCCTAAAAGGTTAAATTCTCCCTTTTCCTCAGTTCCTTGTTTTTCTTTAGAGCGTGGATCCTTAGACACATATCTGTGTGTATTCTTAAACAATATACTTAGATCCATTTAACTTCCTAAAAATGGTAAACTATATATATTCTTCTGAATCTGTTTTTTTCTCCCACCATTGTGTTTTCAAGATTATCATATGTATTGAAGCTTCTAGCCATAGTTCACATGTGGGAGAATTTCCCTCCAAGTGGAATTGCTATTTCATGGGGTATGCACAATTTTAAGTTCATAAGACAGTGTCAAATTACTCCTCTATCTTTTTGTATTAATTTGTATTGTCAGTAGTAATGAAACAGATTTTTTTATTACTCCTCCTTGCCAACACCTAATGCTCTTTTTAACTTTTCCAATCAAATGATCATGAAATGGAATTTTCTCATAATTAAAATTTTCATTTTCTGACTTAGCAATGAAGTAGAGCTATTTCTTTCTATTGGATCATTGGCCACTCATATTTTCTCTTACATGTTAGCTTTTTTCAAGTCATTTCCCATTTTTTCTATTAATTTGTTTGTATTTTTGTAGTAATTGACTAGCATAATTTCTTCCCATATTTTAAATACTAGGTCCTTGTCAGTTGTATGTATTGCAAATATCTTTTATTCCTTTATCATTTGTCTTTTTCTTTATGATATATTTTTATCCATCATTTCCTTCTATATTCATGTTATTTAAAAACTCTTTCCAAACACCTGGGATATAAAGATATTCTCATATATCTCCTTTACCTGCCTTAAATTTTTAATCCATCTAAGAGTTATTTGTATGCAGTGTAAAGAAGAAATTGGCTTCCCTATTTTTCTTCTTATCATAATGTATTAATTTCTGGCACTTTCTCCAGGGACACACAATGTCAATTTTTTCATCTATCAAGTTTCCATACTGTTTGGCAGAGAAATGCTGGTTTAAGACACCACTGCCTTCTCCTGGACACACAGAAAAATTGCATTTATGCATTTCTCAGCCCTCCATGTGGCCGTGGTGAGACTCTGTGCCTGAGAGGCAGTTGAGAACAGGTGTGCCATCATATGCACGCACTCTCTCTCATCTTGTGGCTGGAAGCAAGGTGAGTTGCAAATGGAAGCAAACAAGAACTCCAAGTCAGAGAAGAGTCCTGAGACCTATGTCCATTGGTGATATAAGTGTGAAATTCCTATAGCGTGAATATTTGTGTCCCCATCAAAATTTATATGTTGAAATCCTAACCCCCAAGATAATGGTATTAGGAAGTGAAGCCTCTAGGAGGTGATTAGGTCATGAAGTCAGAGCTCTTATGAGTGGGATTACAAAAGAAATCCCTCCTCTTTCCACCTTGCAAGGAGGTAGATGCTGTCTGTGAGGAAGCAGGCCCTTCCCAGACACAGAATCTGCCAAATGCCTTGATCTTGAACTTTCAGCCTCCAGAAAGAACTGTAAGTAATAAAGTTCTGTTATTTATAAGCCATGGAGTTTAAGGTATTTTTGCTATAGCAGCCCACACAGACTAACACAGAATTAACTCTTTATTGTGTTAAGTAAAGCTATTTCGGGTTTTATTATTAATATCAATAGTTAGTACGAATTATAGCATAATCAAGGATTACCCTCGCTAATATAAGGCAGTCTATTTCTGGGCTACTTGTCTATCCATTATGTTCTATTGGTTTATTTCTCTGTCTTTGAGCCAATACTACTCATCTCAGTGACTGTAGCTTCACCCTCTTAATCTTAATACCTTAAGTCTTATAGACCAAGCTTCCTGTCTTTCCTTCTCCTCCCTCCCCCACTTTTTAAACAGGATCTTACTCTATTGCCCAGGTTAGAGTGTGTGACATCATCATAGCTCACAGCAACCTCAAATTCCTGGGCTCAAGAGATTCTCCTGCCTCAGCCTCTTGAGTAGCTTTGACTACAGGCTCACACCACCAAACTTGGTTACTTTTGAAAATTTTTTTTTTTTTAAGAGATGAAGACTCACTATGCTATTCAAATTCTTGGCCAAGTTTTCCTCCCACCTGGGCCTCCGAAGGCACTGGAATTACAAGTCTGAGCACTATGCGCAACCTACTCCAGTGTTTTTTAACAGCCTCTTGGTTTGTTCCTTTGCTTTTCCACATAAATTTTAAAAATCAGCTATCGTGTGCCATGAACACATTTTGAATTTTCATTAGAATTATACTGAATTTATAGATTGACAATTTAGGGAAAACTGATATACTCATGATTCTGAATCCTTTTATCAGGAAATACAGCAGATTTATCTATTTGTATAGCTCGTTATAATAACCTTCAAAACAGCTTTGTAATTATATCCAGAAAGATGTTGCACATTTAAAAATTATGTCTGTTCTAACAAATGTCCTTTGTCTTTAGGAAATGGTCATTTTTAATATTCTATCATTTAGCTCTTTTTGCTGAGATATAGAAATAAAACTGATTATTAGATGCTAATTTTCAATCTAGCTCCTTTGGCAATCATGATAATTTAAATCCAGATGTTTGGGAAATTTTTCTCTTTGCAAGCAAACTGCACGTAGTAGGTTTTGCTTCTTTCATTTCAATGTTTGTAATTTATTTTTCTTCTTCTTTTCTTACTGTGTTAGCTAGGACTATACTACTACAATGTTGAATACAAGTAGAGATAAAATGAGTGATTCATATTTTTTTTAAGAAACGCCTTAAGTTTCCACCATTACACAGAGCTTGTAGTTCAGTGGGTAGAGCACCGGCCACATACATCCAGGTTGGCAGGTTTGAACCCGGCCCGGCCCAGGCCAGCTAAACAACAATGACAACTGCAACAACAACAAAAAAAATAGCCAGGCATTGTGGAGGGCACTTATAGTCCCAGCTACTTGGAGGCTGAGGCAAGAGAATCAGTTAAACCCAAGAGTTTGAGGTTGTTGTGAGCTGTAACACCCAGGCACTCTACCCAGGGTGACAGCTTGAGACTGTCTCAAAAAATAAAAAGAAAAGTTTCCACCATTAGAATGCTTGCTGTAGGTTTTTTCTTTTTTTCTTCTGAGACAGAGTCTCACTCTGTCACCCTCAGTAGAATGCTGGGGCATCATAGCTGACAGCAACATCAAACTCTTGAGTTCAAGGGATCCTCTTGCCTCAGCCTCCTGAGTACTTGGGACTACAGGCACCTGCCACACCACTTGGCTATTTTTTTTTAGAGACAAGGGTCTCACTCTCTTGCTCAGGCTGGTCTCTGAACTCCTGAACTCAAGCAATCCACCCACCTCGACCTCCCAGAGTGCTAGGATTAGAGGTAAGAGCCGCCGCCTCCAGGCGTGATGTTGGTTTTTGATAAATGTCTTTTATCAGTTTAAGAAATTCCTTCTGCTCTTTACTATGAGTTTTTATCATGAATGGGTGTAAATTTTACATGTTTTTATAAAACATGAGTGTTTTGGTTTAATGTCTTAATGTTGTGAATTATATTAATAGGTATTTTAAAAAAGATAACACTAAGTTTAATCTGTTTTCTCGCCCTTGCTTTATGATATTTCTTTCTACTTTGCAAATCTTGCTAGGTAGGGTTGGAAGGAATTCTTAGTAATTCTTGCACAGCCAAAGCAATAGATTAATGTGACTCAACTTGGATTTACTTTATTTTCACCTACCACTTACTCAGGAAGGAAAGAATTTTTTAATACATTTTATCATATCTGCAGCTTTCCCTCCAGATTGCAGGTGAGAACTATGTTAGATGAAGAGACAGAAGGAGCGCGAGGTGAGGGATTGCAGATATATGTGGACTCTTTTTTTTATTTTTTGAGAGAGTCTCACTATG